GCCAGTTCCCTTAGATTTTCGCACAACTTGAATTTCTACGTCCAAATCATTGTCGCTAGATAGTTCAATTTGTCGAATTTTTCTAAACTGAGGCTTAGAGAAATCTGGGGTTTTCCCTTTGCTGCCTCCAGTATTAGAAGACGTGTTTGCTACTGCAGTCCTAGCCGCAGAGTCTCCTGTTTTCTTATTCGGGCACATTTTGCCCCAATGTCCTGATTTGCCGCAAATGTAACATACGCCTTTTTTCTGTGCTTCCTGCATACTCAAAGCATTGCCCTCCTGTCGCTTCCTTGGATCAGGAGTGCTCCTTTGCTGTTGAGTTGGTCTGGAGCCAGACTGCTTCTGCTTGGATGTATTATCCACCTCCATAGTGTTTGGATCTTTTGATGCTGGTCCCATTGAAGATATTGACTGATGAATGTCCATGTCCTTGCAAATGTCAAGTATGTAATCACAATACTCCGACCATTTCTTGGGCCATTGGGAACTTCTCCTTGCCGCAAGGACATGTTTAATCTCTCTATGCAATCTATCTCTGATTGCAGCAATTAATTCATTATCTGTTGATTTCACGAGGTCTGCCAGACCTCTGAATTCTCCAATAAACTTGGCAGTGTCTACTGCCGCCACTTTGTCGTATTTCTTGAGCATTCTCAAGAACTCTTGACACGCATCCTCTTCTTGATCCGTCGTGGTAAAGGCCCTCCGCATTTGGTGTAGGAAATCTTCATATTTCCCCAAATCTTTGGAATCTTTAACCATGCAATAATAGTTACCGGCCACTACGTGGGCACGGCCTTCCAACAAAGCAAGTACACCAGTGATTTGGTCTCTATCCAAAGTCACTCTTTGGTGTGTGTACCATACTGCCAGGTTTTCCACAAACTGTTCAAAGGTCTGTTCTTTTGAATTATTTGCGAACCTTCCTGGTTGCGCAATTCTGAACCTTCTTTCCTCTTGTTCATGCGACATGGATGTCACCGGTTGCTGTGCCACTTGTGCCATATGTCAATTCAATTGCTCTACGAGTGAATTGTAATCGGTCCGCAATTGTATATTCGCCACTTCTACTGCCGCTAAATGACCATCAGCTGCCGTTATTTCAGTTTGCTGATCTGAAATAACTCGGTCCGCTTGTATCATTCGCATGAATACGTCCTTGAAAACTCTTTGAACCTCTAGTTGTAGTGAACCGGTGGTAGATTCAAGTATCTCCTTCCAGGCTCTTCTAGTGTTCTCATGGTTTTCTCCAGGATAGTATGTGGCTATTATCAGCTCATCAACTCGAGGCTATAATAGATATAACGAAGTATCTGGTTCAATTCCAGCCATTGGTATTGAAGAAGATGATGACGACATATTTTAATTGAGAACGTTTTTGGTACAATTTTGTAGTAAGCATCCTTGGTTTACTACTGACGTCCGTTTGTTTAAAGATAAAATTTTCAGAGACTATTATTCCAAATAACCGAGTCTCTGCCCAGCTCCACGTGATCACTCTCTCGTAGGATCTCCTTTACTAATTGCCCGAGGTTCCTATACCTCGCGTCACCAAACTTGTCCCTGACTCAATTAACGAACTGTACAAGAAGTCTTCTTGTAATCGGTCCGTATACGTCTGCTCCTTGATAGTTAATATTTGATAGGATGCCACCTATTCATCGTATTAAGAATCAAATTTGCTCCTGCTGTGTCGTATTCAAGAGTGAATAGCCCGTCTTATGCTGGAACCCCTGCAGATCGCAATGAATGTGATTTAGATGCTGCTTGTTGACAAAGGCAGAGGAGTCTTCTCAACGTCTCCTTTGTCGGTGAGTCTGTCGTACACCTTCTGCTCTAGTGTAAGGTTGTGGTACGTACTCGATGGTTTGTTCTGGTCCTGCTCGGAACCTGTCGATGTCCTCTTGGACACTGTTTGTGATGGGGGTGGGGGGTCGTGTATGGGAGTAAGGGTGAAAATACCGCTGTTCTCCCGGCGTGTCCCTAAGAGTAGTCCTCCTGCTTTGCAGCCAAGGAGGAAACAATCTTGAGGGTTGTGCGCGCTCTCGATGATCTCCTTCTGAGATGGACGACGAGCTTACACTGCTCTCGCTGCTGATTTCTATGGGATCCTCCGCTATTTCTCCTGTTGCTGTCACGTATTCCAACAGGCTCTCTGTCCGTGGGATTTCTTCAAGTCCTTCTGCAAGGCCTAAGAAATCTGGGCGAAGACGGTTGTCTTCGTACGTGGGGGGGCAAGGTAAATAGTTAGGTGGTGGTGGTGAGTATGGGGGAGCAGCTTCTCTCCTATACTCATCCTCCAAAGGGTGATGATGTGGTGCTTGACTCAAATTGAAGTTGTTTGGGTTGCTGCCCGATTCTTCTGTTTGAGCCCTTTGGACTACTCCTGTGATCAGATTGTTCTGAACTGGAGCTAATATTAGCTCGGCTTCAGGTCCTCCAACTCGCTGCCAGAGTTCTTCTTCGGATTGAGTTCTTTTGATACCAATGAGAGTAGGCGAACTGCTTACTCATTATAAGAACCACTGTGTAGGGATTGGTTGGCGAGGTGATGATGGGGTAGGCGAGTTGCTTGCCTCTACTTCTTCTTGAACACTGGTGTCCTGATCTCCTAGTCTAATAGACTCCTGAAGAGTCTCCGCTAGTTCTATGTACTCTCTGAAGAGTTCTTCTTCAGCAGGTCTATTCAGACCACCTGATGTGAGACTTGCAAGTCGTCCTTCGACGAAGTGCAGTTGTTTGGTAGGTGTCCCAAAGAATGGGAAAGAGGATAGGGGGGATGGGGTATAAGCTTCTTGAAGTTCCTGGGCAAACTGGGAAGCGTGCGATGACACTTCCCGAGGGAATGAGTTTATCTGTAAAATAAACGACGATGGCACAAAGGAAAGTGGTCGACGAAGGTAGTCAACAAATAGGATAGACTTGATATTATGTCAGGGTATAGCCCCTGACCCTAACCCCAAACTCTAACCCAACACTCACTTGTGGATATGTTGTGGTTACAAGAGGTAAGCGACGTGCTTGTTCTTGGGAGTGGTAAGACTCAGAGGATGAGTTGAGTGGTCAAGTAGCTAGGGTAGACTGAAGAATATCAAGTCTGCCCTACTACACTGTATTGCTCTGGTATTTATCCATGTGGGACCAGACCCCGGATACTACTGGTAGTACACCTAACACCTAGG